TGTGGATAAATATCAGAGTTTCTCTTTAGAACATATTATATTTATCATGGCTGTTAGACAAACAGATGGAAACATCAAGCAGAAAGTTTGATATATTATTAATCTAGAATTACAGGGTCAGGGATACAGATTATATATATTTATATATATATATATATATATACACATATACACACAGATATATACAGATGTATATATATTTATAAAATATATATAATATTTAAAATCACAGGACTAAATGAAATAACTTAAGTGGAGAGTAGTTGTATATACGACTGAGCTCTGGGGAATCTCATCATTTAAAGGTTGAACCAAGAAGATACCCACAGACAAGACTGAGGAAGAATCTCTGTGGCAGGAGGAAAACCAGGAGAATGGGGCTTTTTGCAAGCCACAAGAATAAAATAGGTCAGAAGGGAAGGAATGTTCAAACACAGAGAAGTTAAGCATGATAAATAAAAGTGCACCCAGTGGATTTGGGAAGCTGGAGGTCATCGATGTACTTGACAGGCAGTTTCAGGAAGTAGAGGGGAGGGAAGCCTGGTTAGAATAGCTGAGGAGAAGAATGGAAATGCTGTTTCTAGTTTCTCACCTATTAACCACTCAACCCAGAGTTGTTATTACAAAGGAAAACAGTAAAATTGGACAAGTGGAGGTCACTAGGCATGAGGGAAGTTATTTCCAAGAGACTCAATCATAACATATTTCATACAAGAGGAGTAGAAAGGGAAGGTGTAGCAGAAGGAATACCTAGCTAGGAGAAATCTGAGAAGGTGAGAAAAGACGAGATCTGGAGCCTCTGGAAAAGAGTTGACTGGGGTAGGTACAGGGACTTTTCATCTAGTATAACTGGAGGAAAGGTCATAAGTATGGGTATAGAAATAAGGAGGTTGGTAGACTTCGTGGTAGATAGTTCTTTTGTCTTTGTGAAGACAGGTCAGTCTTCAGCTGAGAGCAATGGGAAAGTGTGCAGTGCTCCTCTTGGAGAAGGGATCTCCCTATGGCTTGGAACACTGGTGATGGCTTGAGATGTGTGGCCATGAGTTTGAATGAGAAGTCAATACTACTGTGACCCGTTCTAGGAAAGTTCAAGAGTGTGGCTGTAGGTGAAAAGAAGGGGGGAGCTGGGTTTAACCAATACTGGAGTTCTAATAGGTGAGTATAGTTGAAGGGGATAAGAGAATTTAAAGATTTGTACCAGGAATGTTAATGATGGCTGTGGAAGGGAACTGAGGATATGAGTGAGAGTTGTGATGCATGAATGCCAAGTGACAGAGTTAATAATTGGTGGCCTTAGGGTGCTGCATGTGGCAGCTTGGGAGGTGGATTGGATAGAAGGTGAGGTGCGTCAGGGGACGGGCTGTTGTAACAGCAAAGGAACAGTTATAGGACATAGGAGTAAGGAAACAACAGGGGTCCAGAGACAGAAAAATAACTGTAGGTAACTTGGGGAACTGAGTGCTGGGGGATTCGACGGAACATCCACAAGACCTTGTCATCAGCAAGAATGACGGATAGCAAGAGAGGGGGAACTCATTTGTGACCTGATTATATGCAAGATGTAAGAGTCCTCCGTATATATCTTAACCAAAGAATGTTGTCAAAAATGCTAAGTGTTGTACTTTTCTAGTGCCTTTTGGTTCCTAGATAAGCTTCCAAGAGGTTCATAGATTAAAATCGGATTGATATCCTTGGCTGTGGACAAGGCCTGGATGGTATTGCTGAAGATGACCGTACATCAGAAAGTCCTAGAAGTTTCTGTTTGTTTTCAGACAGACAGCTGGGCCTGGCCACAGAGAGTCTAACTGCCCCAGGGCTGAACTAGGACAGAGAACCCAGGGAGTTTAGAGCCCTGCCGGGTGATTCTGAACATAACCATGGGGTTAAACCATAGTATAGTTCCCCTTAAGTGAAAGAAACAGCTTAGAAGAAGTTCTCTCATACTTAGTATTATTTAACCAGGATAAAGAGATAAGGAAGTGGTGCTAAATTTCAAACCTAGAAAGTGTCTACATGTTCTATCAGGAATTTTAATATAGTACGAGGGGTTTATTTTCATGCTCTTCTGGCAAATATGTGAATAAACAATGTTAGCATACTACCGTTTACCCTGTAGTGACTTAGAAGTGACCGCGTCACATTTTGGGGAAGCTGTATACTCAGAATCTGTGTTTATACACTTTATTTTTATGTTAAAAGTCCACTTTTTATTTTTTTTAAGGATTTTATTTAGTTATTTGGCAGACAGAGGTCACAAGTAGGCAGAGAGGCAGGCAGAGAGAGAGGAGGAAGCAGGTTCTCTGCTGAACAGAGAGCCCGATGCAGGGCTCGATCCCAGGACCCTGGGATCATAACCTGAGCCGAAGGCAGAGGCCTTAACCCACTGAGCCACCCAGGTGCCACAAAAGTCCACTTTTGAAATATTTGTCTTATATTTTCCTCTTATTCCTTCTCTGAATTTAGTAGTAAACATGCTCATTTACCACTGTAAACCTTTTGGCATGGTTCCTTATGAACTTTTCTTACCCTTTCCATCTCAGAAAGAACTAGATTTCATTTATATATCCTTTATTCTAGCACAGTGGTTTATCAAAGTAGTAAGTATTCAATGAATAAACGAATCTAAGATCGAAGTAAGAAGTATCACATGAGCTCTCTGATCTCTGCATTATTCTTTAAGCTTCCAGGTGGTTTCTGGGAAAGGTAGTGGATATAATGACATGTGGCTTTGATACTTAAGAAAAATGAGACTTGATGATTTCACAGAAAGTTCCCGAAGTGTCAAAGCTGCAGCAAGTCATTTTTCTCATCAAGCCCTCATAAACTCAGGCAAGGAAGTCATTATGCTAATCTTGCCATACCCAAGTGTCTTCCCTCCCAGCAAAGCTCCATGGGACCTCCTTTTTGGGAAAAAAAAAAAAAAAATCACTGGGGCCGGTCTCAAAGAAGGAAAAAGAGCCCAATACCTAATACCCGGTTTGCCTTGCACGGTGGCGCACCATTAGTGCTCTGGTTTATAGCGTTAGGATTAACCTCCTTGAAGGCACCAGAAATCCTCCTGGTAGCATTTAGTCATTCACTGCCTACCAGCCACTGTGAGCCTATGTAACGGAACAGGACATTAACCTAGAAACCATCCCTGGCCTCAGGAGTTTACGATCCAGTTGGAGAAAAATAAATGTAAGCATGATAAATGTTATGATGGATGAAGATATGATGCAGGTCACATAGGAGGGGGCAGTGACTCAGAACTGGAAATTCAGAGAAGGCTTCCTGTAGGAAGTGGCATTGGAGCTTTGAGTTGAGGGATGAATCTGCTTTTTCTGAGCCCATAGTGAGAGAGCTCTGCTTCAGGCAAAACAACAGCAGAAGGTGAGGGGACGCAGGAAGCATGGTGGGGGAGGGGGAAACCCCATGTGCTTCTGTGTGGCAGGAGCCCAGGAGCCAGATGATGAAAGGGACTTTATTTCATATGCATGAGTTTGGACTGCATAATTCTGGAAACAGTGGAATCCATCAAAGTGTTTGGGGTGGAGTTGGCAATACAGAGAGAGAGTTAGCCATAGAAACAGGCAGTCTGAAACCCTTCAACGCTCTTTTTAGCCAGTTGTACCCTGCACCAGAGAAAAATGAGCCACACATACAGAAGTTCACCAATGAAGCCAGAATTCACGTTAGGAACCTCACAAGCAAAATAAGAAACTAGTCTAAGCTCATGAGCCTGTCCATGCACTTGCACATTAGTGTGTCATACACATCATTCTGCTTGTAGGTCTGGGGCTTGTTATTCGCTAATATTTTCAAGAAAAGAGGACCCTGACCTGCTCAGTCTGTCCAAGACTAAGGTCACCTTATTCTGGGGGCATCAAAGCCACTTGACTGGGCTGAAAATACATCCCCAAAATCTATTGCAGAATTTATCTTTAATGGCTTTTGTGAATTTAGGCTGAAGGGCTTTAATGGTGCATTAGGGAAGGACAGTAAAACCCTGGGAAAGCAGAAGCAACAGCCCTTACAAACGGCAGAGCTGTTCTCTGCTTGATGAGTGCCGCTCACACCGATACTTGGTCGTAAGGACTCTGAAAGCGATGTGGGCCGCTCCTCTACGCATTTACCATCAAACCACTCCCTTCAGGGAAGAAGGTGAGTTTTGTTCTCTCCTCTGGATTTAACAATCTCATTAGTGTCTGCAAGAGGAGTCCCACTCCTTTAACTACCCCAGCAATAATATTTACTAAAGTAACTAGAGGCATTAGAACACCATCCTGAAAAAGTTTCCAATTTCTGCAACTTTATAATACAACCATATTAGGTATCATCTTTTTCTCTTATTTTGTAGAGTCTTAACCTTCAGTCCAGTGACACAGATGAAAAGGATAATAAATGTTACTACCTTATGGCAATTTAATTGCCCCGTGCCCCTAGGAGTTATACTCACATGTTTATGGGTCATAGGCTACTTAAGAATTTAAGAATGTGAGCTTTCAAAGAGGAAAAAATGAAACAAGACAAAACCAGAGAGGGAGACAAACCATAAGAGACTCTTAATCTCAGGAAATAAACTGAGGGTTGCTGGAGGGATGGGGTGGCTGGATGATGGACATTGGGGAGGGTATGTGCTATGGTGAGTGCTATGAATTGTGTAATGCTGATGAATCACAGATCTGTACCCCTGAAGCAAATAATACATTATATGTTAATTTAAAAAAAAATGTGAGCTTTCAAATGAGAGAGACTCAAGCTCAAAGCCCAGTTCTTCCTTTTACTAATTCTCTGACATTGAGTTAAGGTGCTTAACCTCTTTAAGCCCTCGTTTTCTGATCTAGAACTTGGGGATCTTCATGGTGACCATGTCAGAGATTCACCGAGGGAGCTGGAATGATGACAGGCTGGCTCATTGTTTCTACCCTACTTGGAACTCCTGTGCATTTTCACTTTTATCCTGTAGTTCTGGTTTGTTTGATTTTGAGCAACTTTTTCTTTTCCTTTCCCTCCCCTAGGGATATGAAGCCTGACAATATTTTGCTTGATGAACATGGTAAGTAAATGATTTGTTTGCAATGAACATGACTTGCATATAGAAAAGCACTTGAGACAAAGGGGATTACCCCCAGCGAAGGGGGATTACATGCAGAAAAGGCCCTGCTTGATTCAGTTGAGTTCTAGGCACAAACTTGATGTGATGGGTGTGAGAGACAAGATGGATAGACTTCTTTATTGTAGCAGGGGTGTAGTACCCCAGGATACTCTTAAATAACGTGATATTTACAGAATGAAAAAGTCACTCCCTGTTCAACTTCGTTAAGCTTCTGTTGATTTTTTTTTTCCCCCAAGAAAACCGTCACAGTTTGTTTGGTGCTAATTTGCCTTACTCTCTTTCTAAAATCATCTCCCTCTTTTAATAAAGCAGAAGCCTCAAGCTCAGAGTAGGAGGCAGGCAAGAGTATCTATGGAATGATTAGCGACACCATTTTGTTCACATCGCATCTACTTTTACGTTTTTTGGGAAAATTGGTTTCCCATTTGCAGAAGAGATACCAAGTTTCTGTCCAGAGATTTTTCAGTTGAAGAAAGCTCATCAGTTTAAAAAAGAAGATGAAGCAGACAACAGTGTATGTGGCAGCCGGATGGGAAAGTGATACAAGGATTTGGCAATAACCATGAAGGTGATCAGTGAATGCCGGAAACCCAAGAAACACAGATTAAGGACATCCAGAGAGTAAGCTTTCACCAGCCATGATTACTGTGTGCCGTCTCTTCCCACTGTTTCTTTTAATGTCTATTTGGATATACTGGTCCATCAAGGCAGACCCCTAGGACACACGGCCTGCAGGTTATAAATGTTAGAGGGGCACTAAGATCTTTCTGATAGGTTCTGGAAGTTGTTGGATGAGGGAGTCCCAAGTGTGCAGGGCTCCTTATTCACTGGACTTTTACAAAAGGGATTTGCTGTGGGACTGCCCCTCCAATACCATCCATTGCTCATTACTTATTTACCTCGCTGCATTTTCAACCTGATTTGCCAGACCCCACCTGTGCTCAGGGGGCTATGAAACACTTTTGTGTATGACCTCTAATTTAGAAGCTCAGGGTCATTATTTATTTATGGACTGTCTAAAAAGATTTTTTCCACTTTCTTCCAGTGCCTAATTCCTTCCTTCCCTTTGCTGCTTCTGACACTCAGGAGCAGATGCTCAGAATCTCCAAAATGTGAGCAATAGTGAGACTTGGCGTGAAGGTGACTTTCCAGAGAACACCAGCTGCCCGTGCCTCAGAGAAGAGGCAGAGCTTCTCTCACCCGGTGCAGATAAACTCTCTGGAGCTTCACAGTTGTGTGGAGGGCCTCCCCTGACCCACAGAGGCCACCTCTGCCCCATTTAGAAAAAGGTTCTCTGTCTCCCCACCCCAGCCTCATGAAGGTACATGGTTGGTCAGGCAGAACACGGTCTGGGGTTCTGTCCCCACCTGCTCCCTTTTCCAGTTGCCTTTGTGTATAATATATTATTCTACCACTTGTTGAGGCCCTGAATGGAGACAGACAGGTCCTGTGCCCACAACCTTTTCAAGATTCACCTTCCATTCAGAGAACAATGTTTTTATTTTGGGCTTCAAACATATTTCCACCATAAAGTCATCTGATCCTCTCTCATTGAACTTCTCCTCCTCATTTTCTTGTGAGCTTGGTCATTGTAGATTAGGAGAATGGTCCAGAAATAAATTAATCTTCAAGTTTACCTGCCTTGAAACTACCCTTACATAAAGAAGAATTGTGTGATGTTACAGTTAAGAGCATGGATTCTGGGGCCCAGTTGCCTGAGTTCAAGACCCAGTTTCACCCCCTCACAAATCACGAGCTCTGAGAGTTTCCACAGACTATCTATCTAAATCTTTTCTGAATCTCAGTTTCTTGAGGAACTCAAAGAGTAATTAATTCTTAGAGTCACCGTAAAAATGAATAAGCATACTATTTATAAAGTGCTGATTGCAGTGTCTGCCACAGGGAAATCACTCAGAAGATAACTATTAGTATAATTCCATGAGGTAGTAGTGACTTTTTTCCTTACAGAAGGAAGCCAAAGCTTCTTCATCTTGTTTTATGTGGCTGTGTCTGTAGCAGGTGGTCAGTGAAAGCCAGGCCCTTACTTGTCTTTCTAAAGAATTATTTTAGGGCGCCTGGTTGGCTCAGTCAGTTGAGTGGCTGCCTTCAGCTCAGGTCATGATCTCAGGGTCTTGGGATCGAGACCTGCTTCAGGCTCCCTGCTTAGTGGGGAGTCTACTTCTTCTTCTGCCCTCCCCCATCCCATTGCTTGTGCTCTCTCTCTCTCAAATAAATAAGTAAAATCTAAAAATAAGAAAAGTTTTTTAGAAAGAATTATTTTGGTTCCAGAAGGGATATGCCAAAGCTTCTGTGTGCCTTCTTCTTAGCTGTTACGTTTATGCAGTTTTGTTCAGCACTAATACTCGGGCAGCTATGCCTTCAGTGGTCTCTTCTGATTTTCCCTCCTGGGCGCAGGGGCCTAAACCACTTTGGGGGGCATTTTACTCTTGCTAGAGCTGGGGCTCTGTTGTTCAGGAAGTATGAGCGGCCATCCCAGTCAGCCGGAGGGACTGTCCCAGTCTACCCCTGTTACCCGGTGAACTATTTATAATGACCCTTTCACTCTTAAGGTTTTGGGTTTCAACAATGAATTGAGAGGACTTTTTTGTATTATTTTTTCACCCTGAATGCAACTTGAAAATCACTAGTAAGAGAAACATTGTTTTGGAAAGGAACAGATCTGTGAATGGGATGGAAGCAAACAAATAAAAAAGGTAGAGAGCTATTGTCTAAACGTTGTCCTGGGGATCCCTTTCTGAAGAACATAATTTTTAAAGATTACTCTCTGTTTTCGCAGATTCTGAGAAACCAAGCCTTTCGGGCATTGCTCAGGGACCGTAACTAAGCACTCTTAAAAGAATACATCCCTGGTAACCCCCAGCTCTAAGCACATTCTGTACAGACGCTCCTCTCTGAATCCGCTGCCCCACAAATCAACGGGCACCTTTTCGAGTGGCCACTGGCATGATTTTCCGTGTCTCTTATTTGAAACCCTCACTTGTCCTCTCTGTCCTCATTTATAAGGTTTTAGCCCAATGGGCCATCACATGTGCCTTTCGCATGGGGATTTTAGCAACCCTGAAGGATAACTGCCTATCTCCCACAGACCTCCTACGCCGGTTCCTCCAGGCGACTCCGTATCACACCGAGTCTCTCACATTTTAATTCAGCACCGTTCGGCAACAGGCGGAAAATTTATTTTATTCTTACTGATTCATACGGGTTTGTATTCATCAGAAAAGACTGAAATTTAAAGGAGCTGAAGCCCTTTGTACAAATGGAGAATCTCTCCACCCTGTCAATGAACATTCAGAGTGGGACTGAAAAAAAGTGTTTTTAATTTAGAGCTTTAGAGCATACCTGTTCCTGTTCTTCCCAAACGTCTCGTTTGCTAGTTCAGAGCCCAGGCTGACATTAGATCTCAGATAGCTCATTATCAATCGTTGTGATAGATATTTTCATATCCTACCAGCTTAAGTACCCCATCCAGTTCTATCAATTCCATAGTGTCTGAATTTTTGTGTTTGTCTTAAATTATTCAGGAAATAAATGCTGCATCCAGAGGAACAATAATGTCTGCCTGGCATATCTCAGGAAACAACAATTATGGCATCATCTATAATTTAGTTTCCTTAATATCATCCCTAGTCCCAGGGAACGGGGAAAGGCAAAAACTCGGTCTGGGGGTAGGAGGAAGCACTAAGCGTGCTACCTGAACAGCCTCTTCCTTGCCGAGTCCCAAAATGGGCCTAAAAATCTAGTGCGAAGCCTCTTTTTTAAGAAAAAGATTATGTAGCGGCGCCTGGGTGGTGCAGTCGGTTAAGTGTCCGACTCTTGGTTTTGGCTCAGGTCATGAACTCAGGGTCATGGGATCGAGCCCCATGTCAGGCTCCATGCTCAGCATAGACAGAGGGAGACCTCTACCCCTCCCCTCTGTGCTCTTTCTCTCTCTAAAATAAATAAGTAAATATTTTTATATTGATAGCTGAATTAAAGGACTCCATGCTATTAATTCAGAGTTTTATTGTGCTGCTGTGTCTCTAGGTATAGAGGTGAAAAGAAAAGGCAAAAATGCTTTCCTAGGGAAATAAACCAGGAAATTCTGAGCCTTGTATCTGAAAAACCCCACACTAAGGCAGTGGTTCTAACTGGGGATGGTTTTGCTCTACTTTCTGTCCCCATGCGGGACATCTGGCAAAGTCTGGAGACATTTTTCATGGTCAGGATTCCAGCCAGGAGTGGGAAGTGCTATCAGCCTCTAGAGGGTAGAGGCTAAGGCTGTTACTGAACTTACTTCAAGGCACAGGGAAGCCCCATTGCAAAAAATGACCAGGTGTAAGAGGTTGAGAAATTCACAGAATTTCTGTGACACAGAATGAAACACAGAAATTCCGTGTTAGGGCCTCAGCTAATGGTCCTCCATTCCCAAGGCAATTCCCATGTCCCTCAACCAGCTGGTGACCGAAACTTCCGCTGTGAGCAGGCACTTGAGTTTATTTTCGTGGGGGGAGGGGTAGTAGGGGGACGCCTGGCAGAGGGAGGACCAGGTGCCAGGTACGGGAGCACTCTGGGCCCGGAACTGCGATTTGGGGCCAGTATCGACAGGCTCCATGGGGTTCTGCTTATGCTGTTTAGCTAAGAGCACCGGACTCCAGGTTCCAGTGGATCCTGGCCCTCACACAATTTCTCCCCACCCATACTGCCCCCGACCCCAATGGGCAGGGAGACAGACCCTGAGCCAACCGGGAAGGGACTGTTTCTGTGCATCCAGCTCTTCGGTCTTGCGATAAAGCACAAACGTTATGAGGAAATTCATAACTCAATAAAGGAGTCCTACACCAAATTCTCAATTCTAATCCCAGCTCTGCTACTTCTGAGCCTGGTGAAATTAACCACAAACACCTTTTCTGTTAAAGAGGGACTATTTCACCAGGCTACCCTGTTGGAAAATGGCAATTCATCAGATACGTGTAAATACGACTGAAAGGTAAAAGTCAGCGTTCCATCAACAAATTCAAAAGATATATGATGAGTACTCGCTGGGCCAGGATCTTCCACCATGCCAGGTCTTACTTTAAAGGAGTGGTCTCAAGCTTTATTGAGCATCAGGACCGCCTGGGAGGCTTGTTTAAACACTGGGATCCCACCCTGGTTTCTAACCAGGAAGGCTGGGGGTGGTGCTCAGGAATTGGAGCATTTCTAGCAGGTTCCCAGGTGAAGCCGGGGCTGCTGGTCAGCGGGCCACACTTGCAGCACCATGGGGCTCAGAAACATCCTCCTCTACCTTTTATTTCTACAAGAGCGTGGATAATCTCAGGATTGAGGTGGCTCCGGACACCCACTCACACTGAAGTAGAGGGTCCCCTGCCTGGCTGCACATCTGAATCACCTGTAGAGTTTCTGGTTGTTTCTAACACGCATGCCTGGCTCTCCTCCCATCCCACGGCTAGCCAAGTCTCAGCAGGGTCAAGTCCAGGCACGTGTGTTCAGCAAAAAGGCGCTGGGGTTTCTGATGATGAGAAAGAGCAACAGCTGAACACTTTCTTCCTTCCAAGTGCTGAGCTAAGTTCTTCCACGGTATTGCTTGATTTGATCTTCCCCAGTAACTCGTAAGAAAACTCCTGTTGCCGTCCCAACTGTACAGAGAAGGTGTCACCTTTTAAGGTAAGACAGTGTGTTCATGGTTGAACTTGGACTTGAAGTCACGCAGTCTGACTCCAGAGAAAAAGCTCTGCTTAAGGACAGTGTCTCCAGGCTGAGGCTGACCTAATTTGCATCAGAGAGCCACTTGAGCATGACACAGAGGAAGGAAGGAAGGAAAGAAAGAAAGAAGGAAAAACAGAGACAACCTATATGATGATAGAAGAGTTATCAAAATTATCTATTGGTGCATTCGGGCAAGAATACCTTCAACTTTCAGCCAGACAAGTGCTACTCTTACTTTATTAAAATGTCATCGCATCAGCGACACAAAACACTTCTTTGCACAAAACAAAACCCCAGCAACAAAGGCAGTGAGGTTTGTCTTCAGCAGCTCACTGGATGCTATCGGGGGCAGACTGAGAGGTTTGGCGGTGGGGAGTGTGGACTGTGAGACACAGAAGAAGAATCAGATGCCATCCCCTCCAGTTGCAGCCGTGTCTCATCAAAACCACAGAGCACGAAAATGGAAATGCCAACACTTTGAGGGCCTCTGAAAGCATTATGAGTTTTGTGCCAACAGCTAACATAACGGTCGGTCTGCCTGGGCTGCGGCTACGGCCCTCTTCCTCCTTCCAGGCAGAAATGCAAGGCCCTACACATTTTGCAGGGGCTGTTTCTTGTGGAATTTCAGTGTTAGACTCACGCTCTATGTCATGAGTGTCAGAACTGAGAGAGACCCTAGAGATGAGCTAGTCCATCTGTTTCTTTTTCTTTTTTCTTTTCCTTTCTTTCTTTCTTTTTTCTTTTTCTTTTTTTTTTTTTTTTACAAAAAGAAACTTGGGTTCAACATAGAAAAGAGACTGAAAGTCTATGATATATTAGGGGCAGAGCTCGGGGCAGAACTCAGGTCTCTTGGCTCACTGCCCAGGGCTCATTACATAGCCTCTGTATAAATAAAACTTGACTTTTTGGCCTTCCCTTAATACATTATTTTGTTGGGGGTGGGTAGAGGATAACCTAAACTATCAGTCAAAAAATATGATATTTCAGACAGAAAAGGAGGAAAAAGGAGTCTTGCTTGGCAAAGAAATAAATACATGTATCCACATTTGTGTCAGCTTTATAGTAGCAATATTTATCTCTGGAAAAAAAAAAAAATCCCCTAGGAGACACTTGGAAAAAAACGCTTGGAAATTCGATATGTACAACATCTCTAGACTGCCTCCCTCTCAACGCTCACAGGTGTTACCCAGTTAAAATGTTGCCAACAAGAAGTGGTAAGTGGAATTACCAGGGCTCGAGCTCTTAACCACGCGGGTTAAAACTTTCTGAGATTGATCTGCAGGTTTACCAGCAGATGCTCAGCTGGTTGGTGACTATGCTAGTCTTGAGGGCAGAATAATTGTGCTGCTGCTGCCTGGACCCCACTTGCCACCGGCATGCAAGAACTGACAAACGAAGCTTCCAGAGGCTCTCAGAAGCATGGCTGTGCTACAGAGCTGAATGGGGCTTAACGTTCTATGTGGTGCTTTTGTCTCTCCAGGGCACGTGCACATCACAGACTTCAACATCGCCACGATGCTGCACGGGGAGATGCGACTCACCACCGTAGCGGGCACCAAGCCTTACATGGGTACGGGCTCTGCGAGCGGCGGTGCTAAGAGCAAGGCTTAGCTTTTTTTGTTCCGGTAGACATTTATTCTGGGGTCGGTCATCTGCAGGCACTCGCCGCGAGGAATGCCAGGTTCCCCTGTGACCTGACCCGGGGAGCTTCTGAGTTCATGGGTCTGAGATGAGCCTCGGGAGGCTCTGTTTAGCAAGCGCCCAATCTGACCTTGATTCAGGAAAGCTACCGATGATGCCTCGAAACACTGTTTGAGGAGTTGCTTAGGACAACTTCTACCCACTTCCTATCAAAGAGTAGTAGTTGAGTGAATAAATATGACTAATTGCTTCTGTGGGCATGGCATGGTATCAAGTGCTGGCGACCTTGTAAGTGAGCAAAATACACAAGGTCTCCAGCTCATGGAGCTTACCTTCTAGTGAGGGGAGTTTTAAAAAGTAGAATCGGGGGCGCCTGGGTGGCTTAATCAGTTGGTTTCGGCTCAGACCATGATCTCAGGGTCACAAAGTCAAGACCTGCATCCTGCTTCACGTGGAATCTGCTTGTCCCTCTCCCTCCCTCTCTGCCCCTCCTCCCACTCATGAGCACTCTCTCTCTTAAATAAATAAATAAGATCTTAAAAATAAAAAATAGAATCAAATAGAAGGTGCAGTAATAAATCGGATAGTGATATGTGACATAAGTACTACTATACCCATCATTTACATAACCCCACATCACACGCCTACGGCTGGAAAGTTCACGCAGCATCCCAGATGTCATTTTCCCTGTAGTTTCAGCACCATGACAAACCCATGAGTTCTCCTTATTAAAGATGGGGAACTGGATTTTGCCTCAAGACTCAAAACACACCAGAGGGTGACTAAAAGGTTAAGGTTAGGTGCCAAAACTGTCAACAAGGTCTCACATTTAATTATGTTAACACTCACAAATTACTACAAATTCTAAGTACTCCTGTTGGAGTCTCTCTGCGTGGATGCCATTCTGGCAGAACTAGCCTCGCCTCCCACCCACCCTGAGAAACATAAAGGGAGAACTGCTGTCCTTTCCCCGGAGGGATTCAGGAAGAAGGACTTTTCCGCTCTCCCCTCTTAAGATAGGTGAGTCAGATCTCGAAGAGAATTCTCTGGAAAGTCTGTGGGAGACTGTGAGGCGAGAGACCCGACTCCACATTTGATGGCCATCTGGGTCGTCGCCGTACGTGCTAAGGGGTCCTGGTACCCACAGAGCCCGAGTTGTCCATGGGGTTGGTTGAGTTTGGAGCTAAGCCTACCTGGGGAGCATAACATTAGGAGACAGATGGACAGAAGTGTGTGAGTGTGTGTCGGGGTGAGGGGTGCGGATTAGCCGGAGGGCGGGATCCAGCCTGTCAGAGACTCTGCCAGTAGCCTGGAGGGAGGGCGGCTCCTCTCAGGGAGGCTTACTGGAAACACCACCAATTCCAACAGACACAACTGTATCTGAATCTTGGAGGTGTCCCCCAGCACAGGGTGCCTTGAAACGATTCGACCATGCAGCCAGGGTCGAGGAGCTTTGCCACACAGGAGGAGTGATGTCAGCTATCAGAAGCAACTTAAGAGAGCTCACCCCAGGGCACTCGTGTTATGATCCCTGCCTCCACTAACCCTCTTCCATGACCTAAAATGAATAGTACTCTCTAGGAAAAGGGACGAGGGACATGGCAGCCAGACTGGCCATCTTCACAGCAGGGTGGCTTAATCTAGCTGCGTGGCATGAGAGAGATCTGGATCAGATTTGAGATCAGTCCTTAAATTCATAGGACTGGATTTTAAAGTATCTGCATTAGATGTTTTACTAGGCAAAAAGGATTAAACTGTATTAAGCAAGAACTATCATTAGGGGAGCCCCCTTCCCAAAACAAATGGGAAGCTAGACACTGCATGACTGTTGGCAGATGGGGGAAAAAGCCCCTATTTCTGCTTCTACCTTCATTATTTGAGATGCTTAGAGAAGATAATGTCACTGGTCAAGCCAGCGGAATTAGGGATGTGGAATGAATTGTACTGACTAGATATGGTCGGAGTCATTTATGAGCAAAATAGTTGACCTTGAAATCAAGGGTAAGAGCAAAGTCACTTTTAATAGATCATTCTCTTCCTCATATAACTAGAGCAAGGAAGAGAAAACCCCTACATACAGGGCTGCCTCACTTCCCAGGAGAAAGAAATCCTCTGGGAAAAAATGAGTCTTATTTTAGATGATATTTGAACAACTATAAATTTCCTGGCTTCCTATTACCAGCACGGGTGAATAAATCTCCTTCGTCGCTTCTAAAATAATGGACACATATAATTCAGCCTATTTTCTGCCTAAACCTCACAGTTCTCAGGTGATAAAAGGGAATATCTGAGCCTGCTGGTCTGATGAATTTATTCTGCAGGTTTCCTGGGTTTCCATATTAAAGGCTATTTTCTTGGAGCCAAATCAGAATGAGCATCTGGGTTTTCTAGGCCTGGTTTCCATGGTGAGAGGAGTAAAGGGAAGCTACCCTTCTTTTCTCTCCCCAGTGATTTTAAATACAATATCCGTATAATTTAATTCTCCTCATATTTGGCATTTCAGGTCCTTTCACAACACGGAGCTAGGAAATTGGAGTGCATTCAAGGTTCTCTCCGCTATTTCACCTTCATCCTTATAATTAACAATTACTAATATTTATTGAAAGCTTTCTATGGGCCAGACAATGTGTTAAATGCTTAACGTTCATTTACTCATTTATTTTTTTCTCTGCGAGTCTAGGAAGCAGACTATAATTATCAACATTTTACAATGAGAAAATAAGAAGCTAAGTCATTTGCCCAAGATCACATGGCTAGTAACTGAAAAAGCTTAGATTTAAAGTAAGCTCTGACTTCAGAAAGTCAAGCTTCTTCCTGAAAGAGAGTTAAGGGAGAAATTTATTAGAAATTATTTGTGGTCCGTAAAAGGTTGTAAATCCATTTAAGTAAGCCAAAGCATTCGAACTGTTTTTTGTTTCAGTACAAATGAGTATCTGTCATCCCTGAACTCTGAATCCAAAGGTTACCTTTGCCTTTGATTTTTGGCTAAGAGTCTTTCTAAGAGGTGTCCTAGGTAGAAATCTGCCTTTTCTTTTTAAAAATTATGATCCAAATAATTTGGTAATATCTAGGTAACAGACATTCACCAGCATCCATACCCATTTTATAGCACTCCTGTGGGATACTAATTAGCATTTATAGAAAAAAAAATCTTTTTTTAAGATTTTGTTTATTTCGGAGAGCACCTGTGGAGTGGACATGCACGTGTGTGAGTAGGGAGAAGGGAGATGGGGGGGAGGGGGAGAAAGAGTCCCAGGCAGACTCCCCTCAGAGCACGGAGCCTGACACAGGGCTCTGTCTCAAGACCCCAAGATCATGACCTGAGCCAAAACCAAGAGGGGATGCTTAACTAAGGGAAACATCCAGGTGCTCCAGAAAGAAAAAAAAAATTCTAAGAAAGAAAGAAAACAAGGATGAAATACTGGCAATGACAGGAATATATGACACCTACAAGAGGAGGTGCTGAGCGCGTTATACAGCAGTTTCTTGACTCTGAACCACCTCCCTTTCAGCTCCCTCCTCCCTCCCCTCCTTCCTCACCCCCACTCCTACCTCTGCATCAATATAATCCAGGTCATTTAGAACTTAACCAATGAAGACATTCTTCTCTTCCCTACTAAAAACAAAGCAAATTCACTATGGAAAAATGTGTAAGATGCTGATAAGCAAGAGGAAGTTACATTAATCCCTCTACTTGTAGCTATTTATGGTTTCCTTCCAGACTTTTTTTCTGTGCACGCACAAACACGCATACATTCTTGTTTAAAAGTTGGATCATACCTAATTTTTGTACCCTAAATTTTCCCTTTATAATGTGATAACAACAGACAACATACAGTGAGCAGTAATTATGGCCCAAACACTTTGCTAAGCTTTTAACATTCATCGCGCCATGAAATTCTCAAAGCAACCCAATGAAAGAGGTTCATAATCACACAGCAAGGAACTGGTGGGGCACAAAGGTAAACCCACATCTAAAAACATCTCTCAAGCCGTAGAACTCATGGTGGTGAGGGTGATGATGGTGATGAAGGAACAACGGCTGACACAGACTGAGCTCTGCCTACGCGTCAAGCACTGGTCTAAGTGCGTGTATGACATTCTTTCATGAGGCCAATACTATTGCTATTCCCACTTGAAACATACAAACTGAGAAATGAAGCACTTTGCCCAGGTAGAGCTAGGTATACTGCTGTGAGGGTCACAGCCCCGACTCTTGACTCTCCCAACAGTCTGCTATGCTGGGCGACCTCTCTGTCTCTGGTTTCTAAACCTGCCTCAGCCAGAATTGCAACTTGTTTCTCTCTGACTCCAGAGGCTGGGTCTTGGCAAATGATACTCTGCTTCTTTGCCCATGTCCACATATAGAACTATCATTTTTCATGATCGTATGCTACAGCATTAGAGGACTGCATCAAATTTAACCACTTCTTTATTGTTGAATGTTAGGTTGTGTCTCATTTTGAAACATAAATAAATTTGTAATGAAACTCCTGTTAGCAGAAATAGGTCCTGCAACTTGATTATCTTTGTGATAAACTCCCATTCAAAGAATTCCTGGTCAGTGGGTATGTATGTGTTAATGCATTTTCCTCCTGAAGGTTCCCATTATTTCTGCTCATTTATTCTAGAAGTGTCTGTGAATATTTATTTCCCTGCATTCTCATCAGGCTGTACAATGAGTATCTTCAATCTTCCTGAAAAGATCATTTAAAAAGGTCCCTCATGATACTAATACTGAAATTCTCTGACTTCTGTAAACTGTTCATGTTCTTTGCTCGTTTTCTATTAGGGTGTGAATATTTTTATCCTATCCTACTATTTCTTATTGATTGTATAAAAAAACTCTAGAGCTTTATATATTCAGATTATAGTGTATCCTATGTGTTACAAATATGATTTCCTACCTTTTAGTTTGCTGTTGTTCTTACGGCATTTTTTATATAAAGAACTATTTTTTCTAACATCATCACACCATTAGTCTTTTTTATGGTTTCTACCTTTTTTATTTCTTTATTTTTTTTAAAGATTTATTGATTTATCTGAGAGAGAGTGTGTGTGCATGCGAGCAGGGGAGGAGCAGAGGGAGAAGGAGAGAGAGTCTCAAGCAGACTCCGTATAGAGCCCGGGCCTGACGAGGGGCTTGATCCCACAACCCTGAGATCATAACCTGAGCCAAAACCAAAAAGTCAGTCCTTCAACCAACTGCCACCCAGGTGCCCCTATAGTTTCTACCTTCGATGCTATTCTTAGTAAGACCTACTTTTCTCCAGATTTTGGATATGGTTACCTAATGTTTTTATTACTGTTACACTTTAATTTTTTTTTCCTTATTCTGGTTACATATAATCTTGACTGAAGTTACATCATAAGGATCTGACTGAACTTTTTGTTAGACCACTAAACAATTGTCTTGCAATAACATATCAAATAATATCTTTTCCATGTTGATTTACAATATGATCATCAAAAACTAAATATCCTTATATACAGGTCTACATTCTATTGTTTTCAAATCTTAACTATTACAGCTTTATAATATAATACATGAGACACAAATCTTGTGTTTTATCTTTTTCAGAAGAATTATTATTCACAGATTTTTGAGGTAGAAGAAATTTAGAATTTTTTTTGTAAATTTCATTATTTCTGTTGTGTCACATTTATGGGTTAGATTTGAGGCCCTTTCTTTCTTTCTTGACCAAGAATCTACTATCTAGGAACACCTGGGTGACTCAGTGAGTTAAGCGTCTGACTCTTGGTTTCATTTCAGGTCAGAATCTCAGGGTCAGGGGCGCCTGGGTGACTCAGTGGGTTAAGCCTCTGTCTTTGGCTCAGGTCATGGTCTCAGGGTCCTGGGATCTCAGGGTCCTCTCTGCTCAGCGAGGAGCCTGCTTCGCCCCTGCCTCTCTCTGCCTGCCTCTCTGCCGACTTGTGATCTCTGTCTGTCAAATAAATAAATAAAATCTTAAAAAAAAAAAACAACAAAAAGAATCTCAGGGTCATGAGATCGAGCCCCATATCAGGCTCCGTGCTCAGCAAGGATTCTGCTTGTCCCTCTCCCTACCCCTCTACCCTTCCCCTCGCTCTCTCTCTAAAAATGAATAAGATCTTTTAAAAAAATCTTCTATCTAGGTATTGTAAAACCTGAAAACCAAATGATGGTAATCCAAATAGCCATAGACACATTAAAATGTGGTCAAGCTTATTGGTAATCAGGAGGATGCCTATTGAAACCACAATGAAAGCTCAATCCACACTTACTGGATTAGCAGAATTCAAAAGGTCAGTTAACACCAAGCGTGGGTAAGGAAGCTGAGCAAAGGAAACTCTGATTCGCTGCTGTTCACCATGTTACTTGGTACTACCCCTTGGTTAAACAGTTGGCCATTTTCCAGAATGTGTGAAGATGCACATCGTACCCCCAGCAGCTCCCCTTCCAGGAACACACTCTATAGATGTGTGGCCTCTTAGGAGCGTTCATGACAGCATTGTTCCAAATTGAAAATATCCAGATATTAGGTATTCTCCCAGCACAATGGCCTGTTTATCACTCAGAGTTTTCTGCTGAGACGCCTGTCACCTGTCATCCGGGATACTGGTAAGGGAAAGTGGAAATAAAGCCCATTTCCATCCAATCCGGGGGGGTATTGTGGGGGGTCAGGGCCATTATCTCCCAAAGTGATGGGGGAGCTGTGACTTAAAGATACAATGCAGTGATGCGTGGGAGATGAATTCACTGGGGAATGAGGTTCATACAGTCGGGGTCTGTCCTGGGCATTGGATGTCAACATTCAGATTTCTCAGATTGGATGGCATCCAGAGGATTTTACTTGGGACTTGAGTATCCTAGCTAGGTCAAGCCCGTGTGCAGGCCTCACATCATGCCAGTTTCCTTTGTCCAGAACCGCCCCTTACTGGGAGGCTTGGGTTAACTGTGCAAAGCTGTTGACAAGTAAAATTCCCATTCCTATGAACAAGTGCCTCTCCAGAACCCAGTTTTTGGAGCACTTTCTAGGCACCAGGCACAGAGCTGAGATTTGGGCATGCATTATCTCATTTAATTTCTCACCTCTCTAAAGATCATCTTATTTTGACTTTGCTAAAGAGGATTCTCAAGTTTAGGCAGCTGACTCGTTCAAGGTCAGAATAAGTGGTAAAGGCAGGTTCTGACCCCAGATGGTGTGGCTCCAGAACTAATAACTGTCACCATTGCCTGTTGCCTTGACTCCTTGTTGTTTATTTAGTCAACACATTTCTGTTGAGTGACTCTAGATGCCAGGTTCAATATTAGACACTAGAAGTGTAGAGGTGAGCCCACTGCCCTTGCTTTGTGCTTTATCCCTCACGAGCTAGGTATATTCTTGGAAGAGTATGAAGAAGGTTCATAGGCATCAAAGTGCTTAGAAAATACATAACTGGGCAGTCACCGCAGGGGGTAAAATTGACTGTAGCTTTGCCTTCCCTTGGAGTCCTTTCAAATAACCGTGTTACAAAGTGTAAGTTTCAGGGCACCTGGGTGGCTCAGGTTAAAGCCTCTGCCTTCGGCTCGGGTCATGATCCCGGGGTCCTGGGATCGGGCCCCGCGTCGGGCTTTCTGCTCAGTGGGAAGCCTGCTTCCTCCTCTCTCTCTCTGCCTGCCTCTCTGCCTACTTGTGATCTGTCAAATAAATGAAAATCTTTAAAAAAAAAAAAAAAAAAAAAGAAAGTTTAAAAAAAAAAAAAGTGTAAGTTTCTCCACCTAATGTGAAACCTTCTATTTCTCAGAGTGCCCACTTCCTCCTTCACTCTCCCTCGCCACCAAGAGCAGGCTATAAATGCTACTCTTGGGTCTTCCAGAAGACTGTGAGATGGAGAGCCGATCCAATATGCCTTGCACCAAATTCTCAGTGTTGTTTGCAGCAGGAATCCAAATATCAGTCCTTTAGCACAAACCCTTCGACTCAAGGCAACAGAGAACATCTTCCCAGACTTCCTGCTCTTAGGGTCAGCTGAACATTGGAGGCCTTATGGGATCCAATTTTTAATAGTTACGGGATATATATAAGAACAAGAAAATCGGCCATTTTTGCATGCTGGGAGCAATCTAGCAAGGGATGGTAAGCATCCATAACAGTGTTTAGTCCTTTTACTTACCCTGGTGCTGTGCCTTAGGAGGAGCACATTGGGAGCAGAGATCTGTTAACGTCACACATTGTAAAACTGACCTAACTTTTCTGTATCGTCAGCACCTGAGATGTTCGACTCCAGAAGAGAAGCCGGCTATTCCTTTGCTGTGGACTGGTGGTCCCTGGGAGTGACGGCGTATGAGCTCCTGAGAGGCCGGGTATGCTAGAATTGCGTTGCTCTTTGGTTATTTTTCCAGCGAGTTTCATTTTTAGAATGAAAGAATGGATTTTTTTTTTCTCTCTAAAATCGAGCAGTTTGTTTGCAAGGTGAAAACACTATGTCACATGATTCTTGGGATTACGGCTCATATTTACTCTCCCATATGTGGATCTGAGCCTGTGAGTTAACATTAACTACAGATAAAATTAAATGAATTAGTATTATAAACTCCCAGAGAGGGAAGATCAGTGCACCTCACTAAATATCTTGTGGAAATATATTTGTTTGTTTAAAGAAAACCAATTTGCAGTCACAATACAGGACTCTAACGTCCACCTAGTTCCTCAAGATGAGCGTCAACTATTAATACAACACAATTCGTGCCCTATCTTGTTGGATTCCCCTCTGTCATTTGGCTCCTGGGTTCTGAGTTCAGGGGCAAATTAGAGTGCTTCCCTTTTAAAGAACATATTTCTTAAACAAAAATGCCTAGTAAGAATTTTACCCAGAAAATCCCCCCCCATATTATTTTATCTCTGTGATAGTTCTCTGTGATAGACTGTATTAACATTATCAGATTAACTTTTTCTTTCAATTTTTGGGGTGGGGGAGGTAAAGAAAAGGTACTACAGATTATTGAATTTAAATCCATTTTGTAAAGTATTGCCCTTGTGAGTTTTTCAGGGTTTATCAATTTTTACCTAATCTCTTTAATATTAGTTTTTTCAGATCTTATTTGTTTATTTATTTGACAGAGAGAGAGATCACAAGTAGGCAGAGAGGCAGGCAGGGTGGGGGGGAAGCAGGCTCCCTGCTGAGCAGAGAGGCCAATGTGGGGCTTGATCCCAGGACCCTGAGATCATGACCTGAGCTAAAGGCAGAGTGTTACCCCATGGAGACACCCAGGCGCCCCTCTCTTTTATATTTATTAATTCATTAAGGTGAAGCATGTACCTCATAGTTTAGTATTATCCCCAGTATTTAACTCTAAATAGATACATAACAAGTGTGTACTGAATCAATGGGGGAACAAGGCACTACATCAATTCTGCAGCGTTCTAGCAAAGAATCACCAAGTAGGCTGTAGGTTAATTAGGTTTCAAAATCTAGCTAATCACATTTAATTACAACTATCAACACAACTAAACCACAGAGGACAGGCGCTAAACAAGGATCTCCTCCACATTTACAAATTCTCATTTATAGAAAAATATACGCCTCAAAGACAAATATGCTTGACATCTCTGTGTTTTCTGAACTTCACTGCAATCTTGATGAATGAGTCCCTTAGCTATTAATCTGCTTTGTCCGCCATTGTAAGGGCAAGGTCCGTCCCTTCTAGCTTTGGGTTATCCTTAAGTGTCAGCTTCTGCTAGGTACACACATAGCTTTGCACTAATTGTATGTCCTTAGCTGCAAATCGTTCACTCTTGTACTCCTGAAATAAGACCACAATCAAAACACCTCATTTTCTCCCATCTAATGCTTTACTTTTCCCACCTTATTCATTCTTTATATTCTTGCTCTTATTTTATATGCTGCGTAAAGAATTGTTTGATATATCCTGTCACTGCACGCTGTAATTTCTTTATGGCATGCATTCTGTTGATTTGGGTGTGTGTGTGTGTGTGTGTGTGTGTGTGTGTGTGTGTGTAGAGCCTACATAAATATTTATGGTTTCTGAAAATAGATTATAGGCTCCCCCAGTGTGGAAAGCATGTCTCTCTCGTTCTTATATCCCCAGTGCCCAACAGAGGTGCTGGGACATCATGGGCATTCAATAAATATTTGGCAAGTGAATAAATATGCAATTCTGGTAGTTGATGAATTAACATGGATTTTCAATTTGAGAACTAGAAAGATATGTTATTGTCTAAGACAAAGGCCACTTGGCTATTTTTAATAAGTTGACAGATCATGAGGATTCTTTTAAAATATTAAGTTCAGTCACCTGGGCTTCTAAAGTAAATGGAAAAAAGTATGCTTAAACCAGTTGCCTGTGGCATTTATCAGTTAACTTATTCATTTATCAAAGCATTTATTCATTTATCAAAGCATTTTATGTTTTGAGGGAGAAACAGTAAGTTTAGAAGCAGCAATGAAATGAAGGAAATTAGAAGAAAGAAAAAAAAAATGTCTGTATTTAACCGTGGAAAATGAAGCATGCCAAACTTCTCTTAATGGTATAAATGTGGAGTGAATCCTGTGTAGTGAGCCACAGTGGCTTTGGCTAGTAAACACTCCATAGCAGTGATCGTGGTGGTATGGTATGGAGTACTTCCTTTCTGAGACTGAGTTACACAGGTCAGCTCCGCCATATTGTCACTGAGACAGATGAATTAGCTACAGTCCTTTATTCAGTCTCGTGGGAAGAAAATATGAGGCAGATAGATAAGTTTAGACCTCGTGAAAAAAGAAATAAATAAATAAAGTTTGGCGGTCTCCTTTTTAGGGAATCTACTCCAAGCATTTGGTGGTTCCCTGACTAACTTGATGTTGACATATCATGTGTAGAAGTAAGCCTTTCTTCACATGGCCTTTATTGATGACTCGTCTTGCTCTTCACTGTTCACATTTATAGCCGCCCTTTCTAGCCTGTGTTCAAGAATCATGCAAATCTTTTTCCTGCATTGTGTGTAATATGTGCCAGCTGCCCTGTGAATTTTACGTGTACTATGCCATTTAGTTTTTCCAACAACCTTACGTGGCAGTTTATTTTACAGGTAAAAGACAGATGAAGGAACAAACTCCAATCGAGTGCCTCAATTTGACACTAAAATTTTTGCCTTTGAAGCTCAAGATCTTAACCACATTACCTTTCTTCTCCCCCAAGCTTTTCTTGAAATTCCGTTAGCTAACAGTGTAATATGAGTTTCAGGTATAGAATTCAGTGATTCATCATTTACATGTAACAACCAGAGCTCATCGTGACAAGTGTCCTCCTTAATGCCCATCCCCCATTTAGCCCGTCCCCCTGCCCACCTCTCCTCTGGTAACAATCACTGTGTTCTCTATAGTTGGGAATCTGTTTTTGAGTTTTCCTCTTCCACCCATAGCCCCACGTTCATTTGTTTTGCTTCTGAAATTCCACATGAATGAAATCATGTAGTATTTATCTTTCTCTGACTTATTTCGCTTAGCATAATACTCTCTAGCTCCATTCACATCTTTGCAAATGGGAAGATTTCATTCCTTTTTGATGGCTGGGTAATATTCATATATATACATATATATATATGAAGTGAGATATAGATATATATATATATATATGAAGTAAGTTACACATATACATATATATAGTATCAGTTCTTCTATATCCATTCATCAATCAGTGGACACTTGGTCAGTTTCCATAGTTTGGCTATTGTTCATAATGCTGCTATAAACATCATGGAGCATGTATCCATTTGAATTAGTATTTTTGTATCCTTTGGGTAAATACCCAGTAATGCAACTGCAGCATTGTAGGGTGATTCTATTTTTAGTTTTTAGGGGAACTTCCACACTATTTCCCAGAATGGCTGCACCAGTTTGCCTTCCCACCAACAGAAAGGTTCCCTTTCTCCACATCCTCGCCAACACCTGTTGTTTCCTGTCATATTAATTTTAGTCATTCTGACAGGTGTGAGGTGGTATCTCATTGAGGTTTTGATTTGTATTTCCCTGATGATGAGTGATGATGAGCACATTTGTATGTGTCTACTAATCATCTATAATTACATTACCTTTTAATACTAATTTACAACAGGAAGAATATTAAACTCTTCCATCTCTCCCAATTTATTCCATGAGTCCACAGTCATTTATTAAGTATCTTGAAAAGGCCAGGCACTTGATGAATGTACATAGCCATATTAACTGTCCCACTGTTGGTTAATCTAATACGGAAATTGTGTTCATTTAACAAACATGCAATGAGCACCTACTAGTTGCTAGGTCCAATGGACACATATATGAGTAGGGGATGATCTCTGGCCGTAAGTAGCTCACAGTTCACACAAAAGATAAAATCTCATAAGTCTATTTTATGAAACAGAGAAATTAATATAGGTAAAGGCTGCTCTCTAGTGGGCAGCTGTGAAAAATATAACAAAACCACTGTTTCCTTTACACCAAAGTTAAAACTATAAAAGAACGTGGTTCTCTCAGAGGTAAAAATACTATACCTCATCATAAAATTCTCCACCCCACTCCACAGAACTAGCAACTCATAACATTTTGGACTGGAGTTAAACTTTTCTGGGAACATTCTATCCTGAACTTATTACTGATTCAAAAAGCACAAACAGGTGTAGAGTAAAACTCTGGATCTCTTTCTAATCAACATTTAAGTAGCAGTTTTTTTCAAAGTTCCATTTACTGAACACTTTTCCCATGTTTTATGTAAATACTTACGTAAGCTGCCTTACAGAACAGCCCCAAATTGGTATCTCAAGGTGGATTTAGTGTACAGAACTGTTTCATTTGGCCCAGTGGACTTACCAAAGTTTTTAAAAAATTCTGAGATTTCACAGGAAACTAGAGATTTCTGGGGTCTTTTTTTTTTTTTTTTTAAAAAAAAGATCTGACAACAGTAGACCACATTTGCACATGAAAACAACAATCAGCTGGAAGGGACCAGAAAATGATACGGAGATTTGAAAAATTTAAGTCGGGAACATGGGCAAAACAAAATTTTTTCTTTACCCTATAAAAATGAAGACTCTTCCTTCTTCTCTCCCCCAAGAGACCATACCATATTCGCTCCAGTACCTCCAGCAAGGAAATCGCACACATGTTTGAGACAGCTATCGTGACTTATCCCTCTGCCTGGTCACAGGAAATGGTGTCACTACTCAAGAAGGTAAGAAGGAGGACTGCATGACAAAAGGAAGTGGTAAAAAGAAGCATGCCTTCTGGTTTGAGGTGAGAAGTTAGTTTATAATACTGGAGGCAGCCATGATGATACACATTTCTAGAGTGGACTTTGCACCTAACAGCTTGCAAACACATGGCTTCATTCGGGCAACACACATGTCCTCTTGTTGAGCCATGTCTAACTCAGTGTGTCCAAAATGGAGTTCCTGATCACTCTCTATTTCCTGGACTTGCTATGATGTTCCCTTTCCCAGTGATTGGCCCCCTCCATCCTTCCAGCTATGGAAGCCAGAAACCAAAAGTCACCCATCATCCCCATATCCAATTCACAGCCAAGTTCTATAACCTAATTTTGTAAATATCTCTTGACTCTGTCACTTCTCTTTATCTCTACTGCCATCTCCTCAGTCCTACTGCCTTATAAGGTCTTACCTTAAAACTGGTTTGTTCTGGACACTTTCACACACTCCATTTGGTTCTCCCCTCTGCCCGATACTGATCTGTTCAAAGCAAAATTCATTGTCTTAGTGTTCTCAGAATAAAGACCAAAATAATCTATATGGTATAAAGGTTCTAACTACCACCCAAGCCTTATTTTGGACTTTTGTTCCCCTTTTGACTACACATAGATTTCTTTTTTTCTCTTCTCCTTTTCTTCTACCTCCTCACCATCATTTATCAACCTCTTACCACAGGGCCTTTCCTCATGCTCTGCCTGAAATAGTGCCTCCATCCCCAGCTCTTCCAGCTCCCTCCTTTAGGTCAGCACTACTCAATGAGATTCAGTGACTGGTGCAAATCCATGAATTGTTCCCTACAGGTCCATGAGTATAGAAATTGAGAGAAGCATTTAGAAACTGTTATAGCAATGGGATATTGCTGATGTTTCTAAGTACATGGTCAGTGGCCTCATCTCACTGAACAGGGTATTAACTCAAATCACAAGTTGTGTGTGCTGCGGCCCTGCATATTAGCCATGCACAATAAGACCACATACTGATCTCACTGGGTAAGAAATTAAATGGAAAAAATTGGCCCTCTTGCATAGTTTGAGAAACACAGCTCTAGATCTCAGCTGAACTATCACTTTCTGAGGAAGCTTTCTTCTGTCGTAAGCTCACATAGAACCGGGTTTCCTTCTTACCATTTTTTAAAATTTGAATTTATACATTATATGTGTGTGATTCTTGGGTTAATGATTACTGTCATCTAAGCCTTATGAGAGGGGACCACATCAGGCTTCTTCACCTGAGGCAGCTAGCCCAGAGCCTGACAGGTGGTAAATCTGGTATTTGAATAAATGAGGTCCATAGTGTCCATCAGATTTTCAGGGTGCCCATGTTCATGGAAATGGCAATTGTAGGAGCAGCTAAGTAGTATGCACTGAATGATTATGTGGAGGAAAGAATGAGGAACCTCACAGGATGCACTTGGCTTTCTTTGAAGAGGGAAAATCGCACAGGTTGTGGCTGGCTAAGGACAAGAGCTTTGAGGGCCTACAGTTACACCTGTGCCTCCTGCGTTTTGGGTCAAGCTCCCTGTGTTGGAATAGGGATATTGATAATGTCAAAGATGAAGAAGAGAGGGGTGATGTTCCATAAGCAAATTGTCCTCAGTTCCAAGAAAGCCCTCCTCACCCCAAAATCATACCCCGATGATCCATGGTTGTAGTCTCCAGCAGAACTGACATTTCCCACTTGAGCCACAGGACTGATGTGATACTGACTGTGGAGCAGTTCCACGGGGAGAATCTTTAATCACAGTTCGCAAAACCCCAAACTCTACTGGTAACCTTGGTTACATCTTATACAATATATTTTGATTAATTGTACGAACAGCTGTAACTTTTAGTAGGAAATTAATTTCATTTGTAAAAAACACACAAGCATTCACTACCTAATAAGGGGAGACCTTCTCTTAGGCACTTTATCTACATGGCCTCATTTATTCCTAGCCACAACCACATAAAATGGGCTATTATCCCCTTTTTATAGAGAGTAAACAAAGGTTTAGAGGACAAGCTTGCCCAAAGTTAATAAAGTAGGGGAATCAGGAATCAAAGGTATGTTTAACTCAACAGGACCATCTATTTTCACTCACCACACTGCAAAAACCTATTTACAGCTCATTCTATGCATGCATTATCCCATTATTTATGTAGGTATTATCTTTATTACTTAATAGGATTAGGGAAGGGAAACACTACCTTGTTTCCTTCAAACCTACACTTGAAAACTTTTAGAGGGAGTTATTATGTATGATTTTTTTGCCCCATGTTGACCTTCATTATAATCTTGGTGTTTGTATTCTATTTACAGCTACTTGAGCCTAATCCAGATCAGCGATTTTCTCACTTGTCTGACGTTCAGAACTTCCCGTATATGAATGACATGAACTGGGATGCGGTTCTGCAGAAGAGGCTCATTCCAGGTTTCATTCCTAACGTGAGTCAATCCTAACAAATCCATAACAACCCTCATTCAGTTACACATACGGTCTCATTAGATAACCCCACCCGTATTTGTTGCAACAGCCCGATTCCTGTCTCACAGATGAGACAACGGAGGCACACACAGGGGAAATGGGCCACCATAGGTCATGTGGCTAGCAAGTGGCCAAGTGGGATTCTCATCCAGGTCCATCGGCATCTGGAGTTCTAGGTCCTAATCCCTTTTTGTGGTATGCTTCTACTGGAAGGAAGCCCTAATCCTCCGAGGAGTCATTCCCAGGAATCTGCTCATTGAGGAAACACTGTTTTCTCAGATTTCAAAGATGTAGAAATTTGTTTCCATGGTTCTGTGAGTCACAGCACTGAAAATGTTGGGGTTATTTTTACCACTCACCCCTCTTCCTTTGGTGGTTCGCTGTCTCAGAGCTACATTCATTAGGACTATAATTCCCACTGGTTGAGTACCTGGCTGTGGGACATCTGTGGCCTCGTTCGGACCACTGGGAAAAGGTGGTGTCAGAAGCTTTGGCCAAGAAATCCTCCTCTGCATCACACCACAGCCATTAGCTATCCACTCTGCCTCAGGAGAGGCTCTATGTATGATTCTCTGACTTTACCATCCCTCCAAGTCATCTGGGGAACTTGTTAAAAATGTAGTTTCCTCAGCCTCTGTTCAGAAACACTGACTCTGAAGGTCTGGCCGGGGAACTGGGCAACTGGTCAAACAACTCAGGTGATTCTCATCTATATACACGATCATCAGAGCACACTTTGGGAAACATAATTCACAAGTTCAAGCTTTGAAAAAAATGACTAGAGTTTGATTTCCTTTCACACTCACTGAGGGCTTGTGGGGAGTTTAGAAAACAAACAAAATAGAAAATCGAAGACTATGAAAAACAAAGCCGGCCATAAGTTATTTAAAACATGGTAGGAATCGCAGCTCCTTATTCTCGGATGGCTCCATGAGAAGCAGGTGCTGTTCCTGGTATTAGGTTCGGCATCTCTGTAGAATGACCCAGAATCAAAAGAGTGAACCAACTGGTCTTTCTTGCAGAAAGGCAGGCTGAATTGTGACCCCACCTTTGAACTTGAAGAAATGATTCTGGAGTCCAAACCTCTTCACAAGAAAAAGAAGCGTCTGGCAAAGAAGGAGAAGGAGATGAGGAAATGTGATTCCTCTCAGGTAAGCAGGTACCCCCCAGATTCAGGGTCACGGGACTCTTCCTGGCGCCCACGGTTGGGGAGCTCCCGGTGAGAGGGCCACTCAGCACCCAGAGCTGCTGTTTTGTGAACGCATGGAGTCGCTGAACCCCCAGGCTTCTGGAATGGCAGGCCTGGGCCACACTGGGGTTCCTAGCAGAGCGGTTACATTTAGCGGTGGACTCTGGCTCTGCCATGAACGTCATTCAGTTATGGCCCTCCTCAGGCTCTCATTTCAGATTTTACAATATCCTGGAAGACATTCCAATCAGTAGCTCTGCAAACAAATATTCTCAAAGTCCTTCATGTCTCTAGCCCTCCAGGGACACTCTACACTCTCACAGTCAAGTTAGCCAAGGCCACATGCAACCCTACAAGTATCTGACCTTCACTGACTACAGGTTTCGTCCTTCTTTAGGACCCTTGCTCTTCCCTCTTCCCTCAATGTTCTACTCTCAGATCTTCACGTAGGGGATTTCCTATTGTCCCTTATACCCTAAACGCCATTTGCCGAAGATAAGGTCTCTTCGATACTGCGCTCTTTCTCAGCCCCGATTTTTAACTCCCTCATGACATTAACATAATTTACAAATCCTTATGTGTTTATTTGTTTCTTTTTCTACCCCCACTAAAATGAAGGCTCCTTGTGGGGAAAGCCCAGGTCGCACCTACCAGTGTCTTCATACAGCGTAGGCTCAATAAACAGGAGGTTCAGTATATTGGAAGGAAAGGAAATTTTGTAACTGGACAGTGAAAATTGGGCATTGCTCTTCTTAGAGTTACAAGGTCATGTTGCCCCACCAGACATCTTCCTGGGGTCCCCTCTTGTCCTAGTTCTTCCCCAACACACAGCCCCAGGAAGCCTCCCTCCTGATGAGAAAGGCGGCAAGCCACTTACCTGCAGGGCAGACCCTAGCATTTTCAAAGACCGCCCAAACGAGGGACGCTGTTTCCTCTTTCTTCCAGGCCCCATATCGACCTCAGGATCCTTTACCAAGAAGTGGCTTTGCCCAGGATAAAGACAGGCCCTTCCATCTCTACTCGGGGAAGTGTACAACCGCTTGATCTTTATGTTTTGTTTTTAAATTTTTATTGAGGTAAAATACATATAATATGAAATTTTCCATTTTAACCATTTTTAAGTGTACAATTCATGATGCTATACAGCCACCACCATTCTTTAGTTCCAGCATTTTTTGGTACCCCAAACCCCATATTTTTCCTTAATCTATTTCAGCAGTGTTCTACAGCTTCTACGAGTACAAATTTTTCGTGTCCTTCATTAAACTTATTTAGAATTTTATTCTTTTGGATACTATGGAAATGGAATTGTTCATTTCCTTCTTGAATTATTAATTCCTGGCGTATAGAAACAATGGATTTGTCTATATTGATTCTGTATGCCACAACTTTGCTTCCTACTGTTGGCAACCATTTCTTAGCTCTAAGCTTCCTTGTGGATTCTGTGGGATTTTCTATCCATTAGACCATGTCATCTGCAAATAAGGCTAGTTTTACTCCTCTTTACAGTTTGGACGCCTTTAATTCTTTTCTTTCCCTGATTGCTCTGGCTAGAAATTCCAGTACACTGTTGAATAGCGATGGCAAATGCAGGCATCTTTGCCTTTTTTCTACTCTTAGGGGGAAATACCTTTTACCATTGAGAATTGTGTTAGCCGTGATTTTTTTTGGAAAAGCCTTTTATCTTGTTGAAGAAGTATTCTATTCCTAGTTTTTTTTAGTGTTTTCACCATGAAGTGTTTTGCATTTTGTCAAATGCCTTTTTCTGGGTCAAATGAGATAATCTTGCACATTTTTCTTTTCTTAGTTCTGTTAATGCAATGTGTTATGTTGGCTGGTTTTCTTATGGTGAACCATTCTCACACTCCTGGGATAAATCCCACTTGGTCATTGTGTATAATCTTTTAATATGCTGTTGGACTTGGTTTGCTACAATGTTGTTGAAGATTCTTTTATCTATATTCATAATGAAAATTGTCCTGTAATTTTCTTCTCTTTTGATGTCTTTAGCTGTTTTGGTATGGGGGTAAAGCTGGGTCCATTGAATGAGTCGGTTTTCCTTTTTTTTTTTTTTTTTTTTGGGCGGGGGGGTTTTCCAGGCAAGTTTGAGAAAGATTGGTGTTGTTTCTTCTTTAAACATTTGGTAGAACTCACTGCTAAAGTCATCTGGTCCTGGACTTTTCTTTGCTGGAAAGTTTCTTATTACAGATTTTTACTTGTAGATTACTCTTTACTTGTTATAGGTCTGTTGAGATTTTATATTTCTTCTAAAATTTTTGTAGTAATTTGTTTATTTACAAATTGGTCCATTCCATCTATATGTTATTTGTTAATATACAGTTGGTCACCCTGGTTTTTTTTATTTCTATAAGGTAAGTCTGGAAGTCATGTCCCCACTTTCATTTGTGATTTTAGTTATTTGCATTTTTTCTTTCTATATGACTAATCATTTGTCAGTCTTATCATCTTTTCAAAGAACCAGTGATTATGTTTGTTATTTTTCTATTGTCTATTTCATTGATCTTTGCTCTCATCTTTGTTATTTCCTTCATTCTGCTAGCTTTGGGTTTAGCCTGCTTTTCTTTTTCTAATTCATCAAGGTATGAAGTTAGATTATTGATTTGGAATATTTCTTCTTTTCTAAAGTAGATATTTACACCTATAAAATTTCTCTGATTACTGCCTTCACTGTATCCCCTAAGTTTTAGTGTGTTGGGGTTTTTTTGTTTATTTATCTTAAAGTATTTTCTAATTTTTGTGATTTTTTTTTGACACAATGGTTGTTTAAGAATGTGTTTAATTTCCATGTATTTGGGAATTTCCCAGTTTTCCTTCTGTTGTTGATTTCTAGCTTCATTGTGTTGTGGTCAGAGATCATTTGTATGATTTTAAAATTTTAAAATGTATTGAGACTGTTTTTTACCCTGACATATGGTTTCCTTCCATGGTTTCTTTTACCTTTCTGAGCATATTTAAGACAGTTGTTCTAAAGTCTCTGGGGGCGCCTGGGTGACTCAGTCGGTTAAACATCCAATGCTTGGTTTCAGCTCAGGTCGTGATCTTGGGGTGGTGAGATCAAGCCCTGCACTGGGCGGAGTCTGCTAGAGATTCTCTCTCCCTCTCTCTCTCTGCCCTTCCTGCTCATGCTTCACTCTCACTCTAAAGTAAATAAATAAATCTTAAAAAAAAAAAAAAAAGTCTCTGTTTAGTAAATCCAATGTTTGGGCATCCTCAGGTGTAATTTCTGTTCCTTTGAATGGACCTTGTGATTTTGTTGTTGAAAACGTGACATTTGAATATTATCATGTAGTAACTCTAGAAATCAGATTCTCTCCTCTTGTAGAGTTTGCTCTTTTTTGATTGTTGAAGGCAGTACTCATCCTTTTTAAAGTAACTTTTACAAACTACTTTTGCAAACCCCATATTCCTTGTCTTGTGTCATCCCTGCAGTTCCTATTATGCTAGCTTGTGTTTAGCTAATATTTTGACAGAGATTTCCTTGAACACCAGAAGCATTTTTAAGTTGCTTTTTTTCTTGATTTAGTGTTTCCTTGGTTGTTAAAAAGAACTTTGGATTGCTTTCCAGAATTCTGACAAAGTTAGCTCTGACAGTTTCTGCTTGTTTTTTGTTTCTGTTGATGGGAGCTTGGAGATGCCTACTCTAATATTCTGTTCTAGTTCCTCTTAATCTGGTACCCTACGTTTAAAAATAAAAAGTATTTTGATTTACAGTAAAGGTTAGTATTTCCAAAAATAATCAGAAAAGATCATGAATCTCAAAATAGCACTCTATCTACTCTTTGACATCAAGGTTTTTAAAATGTGAGGATCAATCTTGGCAGCTCATTACAGTATGACCATGTTCATTCATTCATTCATTCAATCCATGATTATGAAGTGTCTGCTATGTCAGGAAATGTCTCTGACTGGCTAGTCATTGCTGCCCTTAGAGGTACACAGTGCTCTGGGAATTACTCACTCATCCTGAGTGAGGGTCCAAGTTAGGCTTTCCAGAAGAGCAAACCTCTGATCTGGTTCCTCTTCTGGCCCAAGCCTCTTAAGCACAGCATGAGTATTTCCTACTGTTGGCAACCATTTGCCATTTTGTTTCTTTTGAAATAATGAAGGCATTTCTAAACTCTCAGGATATAAGTCCTGAAATGCCCTTATCCTTTGTTTTCTGTGCAGTTGTCTCTATTCAACCTAGAGGAACCAGATCTGGAACCAGATCTGGCTTGGAAAAGAGGTCAGCGATCCAACCATGATCATTTTAGTGATAATGCATGGTCTCCTACTACTCCCTCAGTCTGTAAACACTGCTTCCTGGTTAGGAAAAAAACAGGCACAAAAAACCCATTGGCTTATCTTCTTCTCTAAATTCCATCTGCTTTCTTATTTGGCATTTCATTAAAATGGAAATTTTTATAATGTAGTCCTTTTTTTTTAAGATTTTATTTATTTATTTGACAGACAAGTAGGCAGAGAGGCAGGCAGAGACAGAGAGAGGAGGAAGCAGGCTCCCCACTGAGCAGAGAGCCCGATGTGGGGCTCGATCCCAGGACTCTGGGATCATGACCTGAGCCAAAGGCAGAGGCCTTAACCCACTAAGCCACCCAGATGCCCCTAAAAAATTTGTTTTAAGAGATGCTAGGGTGAGAGGAAAAGAGATAATTAGCAAGATCTATTTTTCCTATGGACATATATGTATATCCTAGAAAGCTTTATTAAGGGGAAAAGCCCTACAATACCAATTTTGTGTATGGGAAAATAAAACCTATTGTAATCTTTTATATATATCTTATTTTATATATTTATTTTTATTTATATAATATATACTTGACATACACACATATACAAATATATAGTTGTATCAATGTAAATATATATTTATACATATACTTACGTAAACATGTGTAACTCTAGTAGAGTTGCTTTGTTTTTGTTTTTTAACTTTTTCATGTG